CATGGTAGAAGTCCATTTGGGGCACTGGTTTTACCCTTTCAGTGGAAGTTTTATTTTTTTCATCTCTGATTTGTGAGTTATGACCAGTAAGTGTTAATTTAGTGACCCTTTTATTCCTTACCCACCTAAAAGGTAACTCCATCCAGGCAGCCCATTCCTGCCTGAGTGTACCAATTTAATGACTTACATGGTCAGTACAAACGCCACTAGAGTTGTTTATTCCTTAGTCCTAATTTGTTTGTTTCTAATTAAGAGTTCCTTAGTTGGTATGGCAACTAAAGTGGATCATTTGATAGATATTTAGTGAGCATAGCCAAAAGTGGTAAATTATACCCAGCTCTTGAGTTGAAAAGACCCCCCCCCCTTTTTTTTTATTCCACCTGCTGTTCTTTCTGACTGCTTCTTGTACTGAGCCCTGCTTCTTGGACTTCCTAATTTACATCTCTGGCGTTGTTTGCTCAACTTCTATGTATTTTTATATATTTTATCCTAAAATTTTTAAAGGATGGACTATTTATCCCTCAGGAAAACCTATCAAATATTAGGAAAAGTGTTAGCTTCTAGTTTTCCTGAGAAAACTAATCCTTCTTCCAGTGAAGCTTTTTATGTGCACTAACAGTCCACCTGTTCAGATTGCTGCCCTCCATGTCAGTTTCAACGGCGTGCATGCTAATACTCCAAACTGGGAGCTATTGCTCATTAGTGTCTTTTCCTCCTTGTCTTCAACCACAGGATTTATTGGATCATTCGTGCACATCAGGAAGTGGCTCTGGTCTTCCTTTTCTGGTACAAAGAACAGTGGCTCGCCAGATTACGCTATTGGAGTGTGTTGGTAATTCTTTTTTTCCTTCCTTTGTGGGTAATACACAATGTTAGTTCTGGTTCTAGAAGTAGGATAGAACTTGGAAAATCTATTTCTTGTTGGCTATTGCTTTGTCACTAAATTTAGGAGACGTGAAGTGGCCTTGTGGTCCCTGTTCTCTGCGACTCATGTTCAAGCACTTGAACTTGTTGAACCTGTTGCTAGAGGATCCATCATTAATTAATATAGAGAATGGGCTTAAGCTTTCAGTTTCAAGTGGACCCTTTGGGGTGATGGGAATGCTTGGAAAATGAATTGATATGGTTGTTCCTTGTTGTAGGTATCGAATGATCTGGAGTAAGTAAGCTTTTGGACAATGAGGTTGTTTTTGCAGTTCGTCAATCCCTCTCACTCTTCCCCTCCCTTTAAAACTAAATAATGAAATAAATTTTACAAAGGGTACTTATATAACTCCTTTATTTAAGCAAGAGCTATATTTTCTATTGCTTGTCACATTTTTTCCATATACAAACATTTATTTGTAGATGCAGTCATGGTGTGTATGTAATTTGTGTCCCTTTTTTCAGTTTTAAGCTCACACACATTTCCATGTATTTGTACACATCCCAAGTATTTAAAAGACTGTATAATAGTCCATTGACTAGTAGTTTAACTTCAGCAATACTGCTTGAACAAGATTTTGTACATATTGCTTCTTTCTTTTGAGTTCTCAGAATAAATTTCCAAGAATTGGGGATTCCTGGGCCAAAGTTAGTAAATTTTTTATGGCTTGTTTTATATACCGCTGAATTGCTCTCCAGGAAGATGGTGCAAAATGCTTTTTTTAAAGTCCTGGTTTTTATTGATTTTACTTCTGTGTGGTAGGTATTTGCAGTTCCCACAACAGTTTTCATTAATTTCTCCTTCAGGTGGGGTG